CAAAAGACAGTCCACGATAGAGATTTTGCACGTGAAGGCTTCGAGTAAAAATTTGGAGCAAAACCAAATCTGATTAGGCACCAAATAGCAGTATACAAGAGTAACATAAAAATACAAAAAAAAATTAAGACCAAATGCGCATTTGTTCAAACACGAAACAACAGTTTATGACGGTTGCAAAAAATGATAATTGACAATGTTAAATATGTATAGATATTTGTACATGTATTTTTTAAAATTTCAATGAAAATTGTGTCAAAATGATTGAGACTTACGTGATATATTTTGTCATTGTCATTGTTTATGTGAAAAAATTTCTGTAAATTTTTAGAAAAGTCTGAACTGATTTTCAAAACTTATTTACTTTTAATAAATTAGTATTAACTTGGACGTTGTATTAACAATTATAGCAAAAGAAAAATGAATATCGATTGATTGGAAAGCCTTTATCACCTATCAGGTGTCATTTTTCAATGTTCAAATAATAAAAATACTAAGAGTGTAAAATTGTAATATCAGTAATAGTAAAAATCACAATCTTAGCACTAAATATAACATTAACTAATAAACGAAACACTCGACTTCACTCGTTTTCAAATCAAAATTCTCGTAAAAAGTCAATAAAAATCATCCAAACCCAACTCTCGTAAAACGCGAAATCTACAATTAGCGTTACAGCTCGGCTTTCATCCATATAATAAGCATCGCGCGACGATCGGGATATTGCACTACTAACAATCATTACTATTCAATGCTCGATGTGCTCGCTGCGTTTACGAATGAATAGTTAACGGGGGATGTGTGCGCTCGCACGATTTACGACCGTATCGCTACACGCGCTGCCAAAATATTATTGTACTCTCTCGCATAATAAGTATTATTGTATCCTTGAGGATATTATGAATAAAATAATGCGTTGCAGGAAAACCATATACGGAGAGCATTAAAGTCACTCGATCGCGTTATATAACCCTTGCAAAATATCTCTTTGGGTAGGCTTCTCTCCGTTTTCCGACTGCGCGTGAATCTTTCGCTCTCTCTCTCTCTCGGTGTGCAGCAGCAGCGCACATAAACAACGATATATAAAAGAATGGCAAGTTGAAAAAGCTTCACTCAACTCGGAGATTTACAGCGCTTACATACAAGTACGGTACACATATCATACGTGCGTACTGCGCAGAGTTGGAAATTTTTTGTATACGCGCCGTTAAAGCCGTATACTAATTCCATTCAATGCCGCTGCCGCTGCTGCTGCTAGGTGCAATTCCGCACAATGATGGTGAGCTTGCGTGTGCGAAGAAATAGCAGCAGCAGCAGCATAGCGACGGCAGTAGCAGCAGCACCTGGGGTTGGTAGTAGTGCTGGTAGAGAGGAGCCTCGTGTGTGTGTGCGTGTGTGTGTGCGGGGGTGGTAGCCAGCTATACGCCACACTGCGAGGAGGAAAGCGAGCGTGAGCGCGTGGCCCGCATTGGCTGTTAAATTATAAATGAAGCTGAGCGCAAGGGCCGTTGCCTGGCAACCCGTCGGAAATTCGCTCTCTCTCTCTCTCTCTCTCGCGCTACAGAAGCAAGCTCGCCTCGCATTGCGCTTTCTGCGCGCGCTTGGCGCTCCCAAACTGTATATATGTGAGTGTACGCTAGGCTGTACGCTACTACGCTACGCTGTGTAGGTGTATATAACGGCAAAATGGTGCCACCACACCAGCTCGTAGCCGTACCGGTAAACGAGCGAGCGAGCGAGAAGAGGAGAACAACTGGATGGCACACACGGACGGACGCACGAATTCGTAGGCGCGCGCCTGTGTGTGAGTGAGTGAAACTTGCGGATTCAAGAGCCTCCGACGCAGCGCAGAAGAGAGAGAGAGAGAGAGACAATACGGCTAAGCGTTTGGCCCGGATGCGAGTGCTGAATCTCCCGCCGCTCGCGTATATACCTACAGCTATTCTTGCGCGTTCTCTGGCTTTGAACAAGAGCTTCAGCGAGAGTCAAACGTGCAAAATATGTGAAATTTTACAAACGCACGGCTTTGCGTCGTTTCTGATGAATATTTTGCAAAAAGTTGCCGCCACCCTTTAAGCTCCTCCTCGTTCCTCGTAAAGCGCGCACTTGGATGAAAATTTTGTAAAGTTGATGATGTATATAGATGTACGTTCGAGAAAGGTCAAAAGCTTCTATTTTCTACCGATATACAGCTGACAACCTACTGTGCATCCTGTACATTGTATTGGTGCACGACAACTCGTACATTTAAACCTCTTTTTCCATAGTTTATTTACTCTTTCGTATCCTACGCTCTTGGATTTTCCTTTTAACTATTTTTCTTTCATTCCACGTATACGCACCTTACGCACGATTGGTATATCCTTGCGCGATGACAAAGTCGACTTTGATAAGAGCACCGGCTAACAAATAGCTCGTTTACCTCTATACTCCTTTCACCGAGGAAAATCACTTTCTCATCCGCTGCTTTTTTTCCCCCTTTCTTTTTGTGCTCGCGCGCCCGCACACTGTGTATACACTGTATACGCACAATGCGCGCGGGTTTGCCCTTACCTCGGCAAGCATTGCTGCGTATACTCCCTGCAGTACTCCCTTGCTGTTCCGAGCGGAGCACGCGACTCTCGAGATCAGTATCTGATTTTGAGCTAGATCGTTGGGGACACTCGGGACATATTTTTCAAGTTTGTTACCTTTCGACTACTCTTCAACTAGTTCGAGCAATTATTCGCTTATTTTTTTTTTGTTCCAACGGTTATCGATCGTACGTCACTTCTATACATTTAATTATGCTAAAAACAATAGTTTTAAAATTTAAAAGGCATTTTCTGATTGTTTAAGGTGAATTTTGATTTGCGTTGGCTTAGAACAACGATACTCTTAAAAAATCCGACAAAAAGCTTTTCCAAAGCTCGGAGCGATCTTTTTCGACCAAATTTATGAACAGAAAATTTCGCATGAATAATTTATCAATACCCAGGTAAAAAGGCTGAATATTAATAATGAGCTAATGCTAAAAAAACTGACCATTTGAAAGTTGTTAAGATACGTTAACAATATTTGGCTTGTTTCGGCGACCTTGTTGTCACACTTATGTTGCAAATGTTAAACTTTAAACGACCTGCCGATGAAAATGTCTCTGTTCCAAAAAATATCCACCAGTTTTCTACCACTTGAAGTCTTCGCCGCTAGATGGCGAGTACCTTTATTTTCTAAATCTGCAAGTGGCCAAGTCGAAATAATTGTATAAGTCAAAGCAAAAAATAATTGAAGAAGGTATCACGTCTGCCATATTATTTAAAGAATAAAGAACTGGGGCGCAAAATAACAGCAATTTCACGGGTAAGGATTGCTTAGAATACAGAAAATAATTGATCTGATGAACTTTAACTTCCGTGCACGCGCTGATCTGAATAATGGTCGAAAACGTCCTGGGCGCACGCAACGTCGTATCGTGCCATCATCCATATATATATACACGTCGTGCTGATTCGGAGAGATGAAGAGCGAGTGAGAGAGAGAGAGAAAATCGAGCGTACACGTATCGTACGTAGCACATTAGCCCGGTGAGGTGAATAAGGGAAGGAGGGCGGAGGTGGAGGAGGACGAGGAGAGCAGCAGCAGTAGCAGCAGCAGCAGGAGGACGGGTCTGGGGCTGGACAATCAAAAGCTGATGGCTCGTGATTCGCTATGATAATGAAGCATGAATAGTCCATGAGCCTGGGGACGCGAGTTTCGCTTCGACTTTGTTCGCTGCAGCTTTACGTCGAGAGAGATAGAGAGAGAGTGAGTGAGCGAGTGAGTGAGAGAGTTGGCATATATATAGCACATATACCTATACGTATAATGCGTGCGTGTATGTATGTATGTATGTAGCTTACAATCTATATACGCTTTTATATATGTGTATATTTATGCATTAGCATATACACCCGCACACGTCCATTGGGGACTAACTTATATTACATACTCTCTCTCTCTCTCCGCGTTATGCTATTACTGCTTCCGATTCTCTTGCGGCTGTACCGTGAGATTGCACGAGAGGAGTGAGCGGAAAATGTGAGCACGCGTTAATACAAACTCGTGTCGTGTATACGATATAATACTTTCTTCCGTGCGAATTCCTCCGCGCATCGCAAGCGCGCGTGAATCGCGATCGAGTATTTATTTTTCTACGATATTTTTTCTTGATATCTTTTTGAAGTTGTCGCACACTCGATGTTGTAATCTATGCAGAGAGAGAGAGAAGCCATTTACTCGAGTACACGAGAGCTTGCGCGCAAGCTCGGGCGCGAAAGCTCTCACGCGTTGCATCGCGCGTCGATTTTATCATTTTTCCGCATGAAATTAAGAGTGCTCTACTACTGCTCGTAGGCTAATTCTCGTATGTGCGTATTCGTTACGAATGCAAATAGTGCCAGCTCGCTCGCTCGCTCGTCGAGTGAGAGCCGCCGCCGTAGGTATGCGCGCCACTGCCTGTATATTATACATCCATAAATATACAGGCGTGCGCGCGGGGCGCATTTCACGCTGGGATGTACACGCAACGGAGCACATAGAGAGAGCACAGAGAGAGATAGAGACGACGACGACGACGACGAGCAGTAGTGCTGCGGGATGATTGGATTTCACTGGTCCTCGCGTCCAGTCCACTGCTGCTGCTGCTGCTGCTGCTGTGTAGTGTGTGTAATCGAGTTGGCGCTTTGAGCGCCGAGGCAAAATTACCTTTTCCGTGACCGCACGCTCTCCCAAAGAGAGAGAGAGAGATATGCATATATATGTAATATACATAAATCTACGCGACTCCTTGCTCCAGCGTCCAGGACGTTTCACGACGAGTCCGGCTTGTCCAGGAACTCGCCGGGAATCAACTATTCAAACTAACCGAATACATGCATACAATTTTTTTTTCTCGAGTCACAAAAATCACCAACAACACATTGCATTCAAAGTATTTATTAGAATTGTTATGACGTTTTCAATGCTCTGTGGTGAAAATTCTTTTACACGTTATTTATCAAGCTCAAAGTTACGGACTCCGACTTGTCGCTGCTGCTGCCGCTGCGCTCGTTTTTCTTCGCGACTTTGCGCCTCTCTCGCAAGCGCTCGCAGTGCTTGCAATATATTTCCTTTTTGGATCTCCAATTGTTCCAGGCCCTCGCGATCTCGGTTTTTACCTCGTTATTCATGAAGCAATACAACGTGGCTATTAAAAAGCCCTGCAAAAAAGAAAATAACCAGAGCGTGTATAGGATATATATTTCACGGTAACAAAAGAGATCTCATTAATTATTTTCGATTGTATTACGTGGAAAGAGCAAACGATCTGCAGAGCATTGACGAAGTAGGCTTTGACATATTTATCTTGTAACCAAGGCTCTATGCTGAAAAATATGTAGTAAGCCCCGAACAATGGCACCAGCATGAGTGTTGACTTAAACCATTTCCAAAAGTTTTTTTGTCTCTGATGAGTGACGCTGCAGTTGAGCTTGCAGAACAGGACTTTGACGCTCAGGCAGAACAAGCAAACGTTTATCTAAAAATAGATTAATGTATATATGAATTCGAGGAGAGCAGGGAAAATAGAAAACTTTTTTTGTTCATGACAATTTTTAATTTTACCAAAACCATGATGAAAACTGGTATGGCCACGATGTTCATTTTTATATCGACGTCGACCCAACAGAAATTCGTATCGACCGCAGATGCATAAATAATTACGTAAGTTGTTATGATAATTAACGGGACACCTCGAAGAAAATAAAAAATAATATTAGTTTCGTCTGATTGGGCAATTTTAATACCGATTCAAATTACCCCAGCCAGGCAACAGTAGAGGTTTTATGGATGTCAATCCTTTGTAAGGAGTCCTACAGATGAAATTAAAAAAGTACCAACTCTCCATCGAAACCCACGTGAAACTGCTCAACTCGAAATAGTTTCCAAAGATCATGAGGGCTCTGCAAAGTACCGACTGTTTCGAACGTTGAAATTTTTCGATTAATGATTTATCGATCGATGCGATGGAGTTATCTTTTTCATAAATATATCGATTTCATAAATGATCAATACTTACAATATCATCGTCAATATGTAAATCTTCGGTGATGCTGATTAAAAATGTTTCGTATCCAAAAATGGAAAGTAGAATTAGCCAAGCTAATGACTCCAGTGCCACTGCAGCAAAGAAATTGATGTGTATTCTCACGCGCGTGTTCTGCAATCGACTTTACCAAAAAAAATGGCTTTTACAAATGCATGGATTAAATAAAATAAATAATCAACTTACCGAAGACTGATGAAAATACACAATGAAACAAATAGGGTGATAAAAGAAATCGCTAGTCCAAACAAGACGATTGGGTAGAGCCGATGATGCCACCACTGAATAAAAATTCAAAATATAATTTTAAGATTCAAATAGAAAAAAAAATAAATGTACTTACGATTAGGTCCGTGTCAACATCATTGACCCGCGGAGGTCTCGTAGGCTTGCCCTGAATCGCATCATTTTCTAGAATTAAGTTGCACTCGGTAATGTTGCTTAAAAGCAATTTGCAAATTGTACTATTGTATTGTTTAATTTCGGTCATATTGTAATTCCTTTGAAGATGAAAAAATACGACACCATTCACTTATTAAAATGTAAACACCGGAATTTATATTTTAAACGAATTCGGAGTTTCGATTTTGAGTAAAAGATGATTTCAATTTTTTCATAGTAAAATAATGAAATTCATTGCAATTTTTCAACTAAAGGGTTGGACGCACGTTTACACGAGCAGTAATATCACTGAATGTGGCGAGCTAGTCTAGCCGAACATATGTGCATCGTGAAATCTACTATCTTCCATTCGTTATCTTTTTATAATAAATACAAAAGTCTGAGTCAAAATTAATAATTTTTGAATTTTATTTTATTTTTGATATGCGAAAATTTTATCAATATCAAAAAGACCTCGTCGTACACGCGTACTTCTCATACGAGCAAACGATATTTTTGAAAAAGATTCAAAAATAAAAAGGCAGTAAATGAAAACAACATATCAACGATACGGTTAATGAATTCAGCAATGAAAAGCCGAATTATGAATTGAATCATTGATTCCATATACAGCTTATTAAAACATGAAAGTTGGCTGACCAAGAGTATTTCATTTCTGCAGTGTCAAGCTGCAAAGTTTGCCTGTAAATTAATTAAAAATAAACAAAAGCATTCGTGTTTTCATTCTGTGCATTCACAGGAAAAAAAAATGAACGCAACAGTTTTCGAAATCACTGAGGATTTTCCAGGCAGCTCTGTAAATAATGAAAATGAGGAATTCAAGAGTGAGAGAGAGAGAAAGACCGATTAAACGCACGAAGCAATAGCAACAAGAATGACGAGAAAGAACCTGTAAGCTCCGCGTATATAAAAAAAAAGCAGAGTGACGAGGGGGCTCCGAGCGCGTACGCGCAGTCTCGAGATCGAGTAGAGCTTACACGTGCGAGTGTACATTCTTTGGCCGGGGCTAGATGCATAATTCAAAAAAGCGTTTGATATTTAGCGCGATGCGTTTCGAACGAAAAATCACTGCACGGGAATTCACGAGCTGTTTTTTTCCTCTTTCATCAATTTTTCCAATCGGATTCCTGTACACTGAGCTCGTGCTTTCATCGCCGTATGATCGATTCCAAAGGATTTGGGTGAAAATTATAAATTATTTATTTTCATGATCTCGACATAATTTATTAAACTCGGTGGGTCAGCCGCGGCGAGTCGCGCTAGTGTTGATATCGATCGGTCGTGATTATACACACAAGTATACCTACATCCATTTCGGTTTATGAAAATTCGATTCCTTTGTCAAGAGTCCGCTATTATGAACTTTATTATTTGCGCGCTTGTGTAAAAAGGAGAGCTTGCGCGCACCCGCACACACACACCCACACGTACACACGGACACACAGGGCAAGCGCGCCACCTAGCACGAGTGCAAATGTGCGCGTTTCGCATTAATAAATGAGCGGGAATTCAAAGAAATTCATATTTTCTAATCCTATATAATATGTATCTAGCCTAGTTTGAAAAAAAGTAACACAAAACCTTCCTCGAGTCGAATTGAAGCACCCCTTTTATTCCTGGAAAGTAGCTTGCACAATAGTCCTGATTAATAATGCACATAATGCTTATAATTTCATATAGATATTTTTGTTATTATACATACTAAGAAAGTATTATCTTATGACTTTAGCAAGGGACTCCGGTAGTGTAATAAATAAAGCAGCGAGATAACCGCATTAAATGGGTGTTACATTTCGAAAATTGTATTTTCACTTTTTTTTTTTTTTAATAAAAATTATGGAAAACAAAGAAGAGCGTGATAGTTCAGGATTTTTTTAAAGAAAAAGTAAAAAGGAATTCTGTATTTACGTTCGGGTCTTTACAGCTATGTAAGGTTTTGATAGGCGTGAAATTTTAATCCTATTATTCATAGTTTAATCTAGTTCATATTGCATATGATATATGTATTTTAGATTATACTAGTACTCGGTTTTCATTTCTTATTTTAACGTAATAATATATTGTTGATAAAAAAAATTTTTACCGTTCATTAGTCATGAGATGCACAATTTAATGTCTTCAATAGATATAATTTTAATGACTTCGTTTGCGTTAATATATTTGAAATGTTAACTCGCGATTTGTAAATATTATGTCTTTCTTGTACAGAAGAGAAGGGTTTAGACACCTTTGTTCAATCAATTCTGTATAAAATAAACATTTTCATTATTATTTACAAATTTCCTCAATGATTAATGACAAGCACCACCAAATGTGTACATAGCTGTACTATTGAAAGTTAGAACACTGCTAGATGGGAATCACTCTTTATAAATTTGGGTCTAATTGGAATAAATAATTCAAAGATTAAAAATCACGATGAGTTAAATGCATTAAAAAATCACATCTTAATGTCAATTTCACGCAATGTTTTACAAATCCAGCATTAGAAAAATTGTTATGAATTTTTGAATGTAGAACAAGTTTTAGGCGCGCAAAGCGCTTTGTATGGCAAAAAGACTGCCGAATAGAACTGTGCAGAGCTCGGCTATATTTTGAAAAGATGTGCTAGAGATATCGCAATGGTATATATGTGCATAACCAAACACCTTGCGGTGCAGTGCGACGCACGGAGAGGTCCTGCATGCCACGCAATACACAATAGGCAGAGCGCAGTTTTGGCTCTTTTTCAGTTTTCCCGTTCAGTTGGCCTGATCAACGTTAATTAATGGTTTGCTAATTCCAACTGACAGATGGAATCCAGTGATTTATTTAAAAGTGCTGTCAGGTAGTTTTATGAGAATCAAATAATGACATCGAAACAAAATACTTAACCTCTTTCAAGTTATTTCAGGGCGAAAAAGGAACCTGGTGACGTGCCGAACAGTGAAAATGATAGTGAAATGAATGACGAGAAACCTGATCTTGAAAACTTCCATCTCTCACCGTTTCTGAAAGGAAATGCAGTAAGAGTTAATAATTATGCGTACTTATATTATTGTATTCTTATGGCAATTTTTACATAGATTTTATTTTTCAACAGACCCATACACTTCGAAAATGTGACGTTAAACTTGAAAGTGAGCTTGATGAGGAAGTGGAAATAGTCGTTGAATGTGAAGACGTCAAACCTAACATCAATTCATTGGTAACCAAAAAAATTGAAGAAGATTCTCAAAATTCTTTTTGGAGTATAGAAGATAGCGATAGTTGTAAGACTAAAAATGTAAATAAAATGGAGCCCATAGGGACAGTAAAGCAGGAATTTTTCGGTGACGTTGCTGAAGAATCGAATTTGAGTAAAACTATCGAACAACACGAAAAAAAAAGAATTTCAAAGAAGTTTAACAACCAGCGAAGGCTCAAAACTCGGATCATTCCGATGCAAAATAATACAAGCCACGCATGTGAAATATGTAAAAATAAATTCTCAAGAAAAGATCATCTCAAAATTCACATGGATTCAATTCACTATGGCGTCACATATTCATGTGATATTTGCGAAAAGTCATTCAAACAAAAAAGTTATCTCAAATTCCACGTGGATTCAATGCACAACGGTGTCAAACATGCATGTGATATATGCGGAAAGAAATTTATAACAAAGGGCAATCTCCAAGTTCATATAGATGCGAAGCACAGTGGTATAACACATGCTTGTAATATATGCGGAAATAAATTTACAGTAAACGGTAGTCTCAAAAGGCACATCGATTCGGTGCATAACGGTATCAATCACCCATGTCACACTTGTGGAAAGACGTTTACACAAAAGGGTGATCTCCAAACCCACATAGAAGCAAAGCACATGGGTGTCACATATTCATGTGATATATGCAAATCAAAATTCACATCTAAAAGTTATGTTCAAATCCATATTGATTCAATGCATAATGGTATCAAACATGCGTGTGATATTTGCGGAAAGAAGTTCTTACATAAAGTAAGTGTCAAAAGGCACATTGATAAGAAGCACAATGGTATCAAACATGCATGACATACATGCGGAAAGACATTCTCATCTCAGGTCAATCTCAAAAAACACATCAAAGACATACATGAAAGCATCACTTATAAATGAGATACATGCAGTAAGGCATTTAAATACAAGTATAAACTTAAAGCCCATATTGATTCGGCGCATCTCTCACGCATTAAAACTTAATGAATGTATAAAATTTAGCATACACGTTTGGAAGGCTAATTTAAAAATGTTCATTCATAATAATATTTTGAGTATCTCTAATCATTTGTGGATTAGTAAAACTGCCACCCCCGCGCAAACTTTCATTTGCCGCGTTTTCTAAAAGTAGTCAATTTTTTAAAACTCGAAAAATTGAATTCGAAGTATCAAAATAAGATGGTGAATAGATAAAAATACCAAGGTAATTAAGAATGAAACAATCATCAGCGATTCTAATAAATTTTGAAGATATGTAGAAAACATTTTTTGGTTTGAATAAAATTGTTCAATGGTTTTCACGTTGATTTATTCCGTAAGATCCTATTTTTATTACCAATTACATCTCCTTTAACAGAAATTATCACGGTCGGCAAATTGATCAAAATCTTTCACTGGTGCATGTTTAATTGGTTTAGCTGAAGTTGCTTGAATAGTTGGAGAAATCGAGTAACCGAAGAATGAACAGAGAGTTGTAATTGATGGTACGCGAAATCTGAAAACGCCACAATGACAATTTACATAGGTGTAATGATAGTTGATATTAGGTAAGACTAAGTCATTTTGGCATAATTTTTATTGAACTTTTAAAAAACATATGTGCAGATATCTACACATATTTACAATTGTCAAGAAAATTATTTTACTGGTAAAATGTACATTATTCTTTAAAGAACTATTTTAAGCATGTGATTGCAATGAGTTCGAGTCATTCGTATGAAAAATAAATTGTACATAAAAACTTGATTATCATCTGACGTGAGATTGACGTGAGAGTTATGAGAGAAAAACGTTTGAACGATAAGAGTTACGAGCAAAGCAAACGATTGTGAAAAACGGGTACTATCATGATAAACATGATTATTATATAGTGGTAAAAAAATGATCTCCTATGGAACTTTTACTGAACTTGATCAGGAATCTTTCAAAAATCAATATATTCTAGAATATAAGTCTTCTGGAATAATTCTGGAATATACTACTACTAGCATTTGCATTCAAGAAATTTCATTTTTTTCAGTAAGCTTGGGGCTTAATAAAAAGTTACTGAGTATGCGAATTGGTTATGAACTTATTTATGACGGGAGTTGATTTTTATTTTGTACATTTTTTCGTCTATTAACATGCAAAAATTTTGCCCTGATAAGCAAATCAGATGTGGAGAATTAAATTGCGTTTGTACACAAAAATTTTATCGCAATTATCACAGACGTAAACTTAACAAATTTCGAGAATTGTCCGATAGATAGTTTCTGTGTATTTTATGGGCTGTTTTTTGGTGTCAAAGATGAAGTACACGATTTCTTCTCGTACTTCTCGTTTGCAAAATCTTCGCGATATTCGTGAACTGTTCTTTGATGTTTAATCAAAATTGATTTTTGTCCAAATTTCTGCTAGCACTTGTCATGTGCAAAATCTTCGTGATATCTTTCTTGGTGCCTAAGCAAATTCCATTTTTGTCCAAATTTCTTTTCGCACTTGTCACATGCATAATCTTTGCGACCTTCGTGAACGTTTCTTTGGTGAATGAAAAAGTTTGATTTTTTTACAAATTGCTTCTCGCACTTGTCACATGCGTAATCTTTGCGACCTTCGTGTATTGTCCTGTGGTGATACAATAAACTCGGTTTTTGTGTAAATTTCTTCTCGCACTGGTCACATGCGTAATCGTTGTAACAACCTTCGTGAACTGTTTTTTGGTGTTTGATCAAAGTGCTTCGTTCCCCAAATTTCTTCTCGCAATTATTGCATGCGTAATCTCTACAACCTTCGTGCACTGTTTTTCGATGTCGACTCAACTTCGATTTTGCCCCAAATTTCTTATCGCACTTGTTGCATGCGTAATCTTTGCGACCTTCATGAACTGTTTTTTGATGGAAAAGCAAATGGGGTTTTTGTCCGAATTTCTTCTCACATTTGTGACATGCATAGTTCTTGTGACCCTCATGAACTGTTCCCTGGTGCCTCAACAAATCTGATTTACTTCCGAATTTCTTCACACAATTGACGCATATGAATTCTTTGCGACCATAGTGTACTGTTTTTTGGTGCCGAAGCCAATTTATTTTTTGTCCAAATTTCTTCTCACATTTGTCGCATGCAAAATCTTTCCGACCCTCATGGACTGTCTTTTGGTGTTTGATCAAATTGCCTCGTTTCCCAAATTTCTTCTCACACTTGTCGCAAGTGAAATCTTCACAACTTTCATGGACTGTCTTTTGGTGAAAGAGCAGAGTCGATTTTAATTCAAATTTTTTCTCGCACTTGTCACATATGATATCTCTGCGACGCTCATGGGCTGTTTTTATATGCAAAAGTAAACTTTGTTTATTTCCAAATCTTTTCGCACACTTTTCACATAAGTAATCTTTGAAAACTTCGTGGAATATTCTGTTGTGTTTAAGTAAAGTTGACTTATTTTCAAATTTTCTCTCACACTTGTTACATGAGAAATCTTCGCGATTTTTGTGTACTAGTTTTTGGTGTGTAAGCAAACTTGATTTTTTCACAAATTTCTTCTCGCAATTGTCACATGCAAAATCTTTGTGGCGTTTATGTTCTGATATTTGGTGTCTACTTAGATGACTTCGGAACTCAAATTTCTGTTCGCAATTGACGCATGCAAAATCGTTTTGTTTATTGTGAATTGTATTACGGTGTGTTATCATGCTCGATTCTGGTGTAAAGGCCTCCAGACAAATATCACTAATATGTTGTTTGTCGTCTGAAATAATGATGTTAACTCTACTTAAATTATTTCTTGAAGCAGCTTCTTCAGATTTTTTCTCACTTTTATCCATTTTCGTTCTTTTATCAAACGATGGGTTCTTCTATTTTGAAAACTTAATGAGTAAAATTTATCTTCCGATACTACAGCTTGTTTCATCAAGAAATGAAAAATTTTCATTATAAACATGATCAGTGTTTCAAACTATGTCAAAATCGTTCATGGTCGTATTGTTTACAATTAAGTTACCGATTAATCTGCTTGTACTTTATTTTTAAAATATTTGAACCAGTTTCAAATCCCAACTTGTCGACGATTTCTTCGAAGAATTATTTTGACTTTCTAGAACATCTACACTTAAAAAAAACCGCTGTCAATTTATTGACAAGGAGCAACCTCCAAAGATGGTTTTTACTTGTTGTTAAAAATAAAAAAAAATAATATTTTTTTTCTACCTTCTTAATAAGTAAGAGCGAAGATTACACTAGGGAATTAAGGGAAAGGCTTATCACCAGATTTTATTATCGTCTCAGAAACAACAAAAATTTTTTTTGAAATTGAAAAAAAAATTGAAAAAAATTTTTACATTTGATGTATAAGTAAAGTATTTAATCGTAATTATTAAAATTAATTGTTCGCTCAGCTTTAGCAACAATTGTTGCCACCAGTTTACAAATATATAAACCAGATTGTCCTACAAGGTCTGGTTCAGAAACTCATATTCAAACCCATCACATAGCTTCCTCTTTGTAAAAAGCAAAATCGAAACTCATTCTTTCAAATTTATTTATTTATTTGAATAACATGTAAACAAAGCAACATTTAATTACAATAAATATAAAAAAATACTACAAAAAAGCTGATGTTGACATCACGAGCTTTTTCCTGCAGCAGCCAAGCAAATATTATATAAATCCTCGTTCTTCAATTCCTCTGTTATCATGTCACAGCACTCAAGTGGCAGTCGGTAATGTATCAGCTCCCAGAAAGGATCCAGGGCCCAACTCCGAAAAAATCCTCTCGATACTTTCTCGACCAGATTATCAGTACTAAGCTCCCGATACTTATTGGACTGCAAACCCAAATCAAATGAGCAAGCAAGCTTCCAGTAGTCCTCATATGTGAGTAATTTTGCCGCCTCCTCGGGTCGCAGTCGAACCACTTTATCGAGCGACAGACCCGGAAGTATCTGTATCTCTTTTGCTTCAGTTATGAACATCTCGTTGTCGTACCAAAATTTATCAAGATCTGCTGAATTCGCCAACAATTTGTACTTAGCGAAAAATTTCATGATCGCCAAGGCGTCACTTCGCTTCAGTTGATATCCTCTATTCTCAATTTTTTCGACGACGGCCAACACGCCGGACGCTAGTCTCAATCTGTAATCGGACGCAATTTCATTACTTAATTTATTGTAACTCTCGTTGGAATAACTGTCAGTGGGAAAAATGAAAATTGACAGATCAGCGCCACGTTCGAAGAGAATATCAATGCAATCTGGCCAGAGATTCGCCACGGCCAACTGCAGCGGTGTCCGACCCAACTTGTCTCGAGCGTCGACCTGCACCGACTGATTGACTTCGTCGCAGATCTTGAAAAATGGCTCCAATGCATCCTCGCGATCATAATAAATCTTTCTCATGTAAAATAGGTGCAAAGGTGTCGATCCCTCGTCGTTGGCCAATTTCGGATCGGCGCCTCTTCTCAGCAGCATTTCAGTTACATAAACGTTGTAGTGGAGCACAGCCAAGTGCAATGGTGTGTTACCGTAATTGTCACGGGCATCGACCTGCAACGGCTGTTGTTTTTCGTCGGCGATCTCGAATAACAACTTCGCTACGTCAGGAATTGAAAACTTTGCCGGATCAAAAATGTAATTCTTGCTTATCAAGTGCAGTGGCGTCAATCCGTTCTTGTTGGCCAAATTAAGATCAGCACTTTTTCTGAGCAGTACTTCAATCATTTCCGTGTTGTCCACGTAATACTTACCATTCAGATACAAGTGTAGCGGTGAATCTCCAGTTTCTGGCCAGAGGCAATTAGGATCTTGGCCGAGCTCGAGGAATTTCTTGATTTCATTGTCCAAGCC